TTTTTTGTTGTTATATACCTGGATGACTGAGAAAACAAACTTTGTGTTTTTGAAACCATTAGTGAAAAGGCCAGACTTCAGGGGTATCTGAGGCAGGCTTGGAACACAAGAGTCAGGGTGGCTTCTGGGTAATACCAGATGGCTAGGCCTCAGACCGACGAAGCCTCTTGGATGAGGGGCGAAACGTTTCTTTTTAACAAAAAAACGAAGTCCAGATGACATGATTCAACCTTTTTTGTTGTTATATACCTGGATGACTGAGAAAACAAACTTTGTATAAGTGAATGAAGTTCCTTTTGAAAAAAGAAAGAGACAAATGGAGGAAATGCAACATGCAACAAGCAAACCAATGTTGATAAGACATGGTGTTACGGAATTCAAAATACACGATTATGAAAACAACATTGATCCAGACAGTAATTTATTAGACAAAACCAACAATTGTAAATATTATACAGATGAACAACTGAATCTCTCTGTGTACTTTGATAATTTTTCACTTATTCATTTTAACTGCAGAAGTCTTCATGCTAATTTTGACAAGATTAGTGAATATCTGAAAACATTTAGAAATCACCATCAAGTAATAGCATTATCTGAAACTTGGTTGAATGACAAATCTATAGATTTTGATATGGAAGGGTATAATCTGTTTTATACAAACCGAGTGAAGAACAAAGGTGGTGGTGTTGCATTGAATACTCGTAGTTCCTTGAGATGGGAAAAATTAGAATGCATGTCATTTGCCTTGGATGATGTGATGGAATGTGTTACTGTTGAAATTGAGATGGATAAAACAAAGAACATTATTGTAGCTTGTATATACAGAACACCAGGCTCTAGTTTAGAACATTTTAGAGAAAGATGTGAAAATCTATTGGATGGATTAAATGATGGTAAAACCTGATTAATATGTGGAGATTTCAATATTGATCTATTAAAACAAGGACAGCACAAAATGACCACAGATTTTGTTGATGCAATGTCCAGTAGAAGTTTATATCCAGTGATTACTCAACCTACCAGAATCACTAGCACTACTGCAACATTAATTGGTAATATTTTTACTAATGAAATTGGAAAAGCTATTTACAGTGGAGTCCTAATAAGTGACATAAGTGACCATTTACCTATATTCATAGTTCATGACAGTAAAATAAAAAAAACTAATAAAGTTGATGAAATAAGGCAGGTTAGAGTCAGATCCGACAAAACAATAAAAAAATTCTGTAATGACCTGTTAAAGGAAAACTGGAGTGGGGTATATGTGAAGGATGTAAATGTGGCATATGAAACATTTCTGCAAGTCTATAAATCATTATATGACAAAAGTTGCCCGATATTAGTGTGTCACAAAAATAAAAATGTCAGTGCAAAACCCTGGATGACCAAGGGACTGTTAAAATCTTGTAAGAAGAAAAATAAGTTCTATAGAGATTTTGTTAGATTTCCAACTAAACCTAAAGAGTTGAAATACAAGGCATATAAAAACAAATTGACAACATTAATAAGACAAGCTAAGAAAGATTACTATAATTTAAAGTTGCGAGAGAGCAGTGGTGATATGAAAAGAACATGGAAAATTTTGAATAGTATTGTAAGACCTAATTGGTAAATGGTAAATGGAGCTTACTTCTATAGCGCCTTCCAGCCCCCTATGAGGGGCCCCAAGGCGCTTTACAGTACCAGCCATCCACCCATTCACACGCACATTCATACACCGGTGGCGGTAGGCTGCCATGCAAGGCGCCATCCAGTCCCACCGGGAGCAACTCGGGGTTAAGTGTCTTGCCCAGGGACACAACGGCACATGGTGTGGGAAGTCGGGATTCGAACCTCCAACCTTCCGATCAGAGGTCGGCTGCCACTACCACTGCACCACGGCCGCCCACAATTATACTCATTGTCTTGAAAAACAGTTTTTTAAAGGGAGAAACAACATTGATTTGAAAAAAATAAAGTGGTGAATGAATTTAATTCCTTTTTTGTAAATATAGGGCCAGGTTTGGCTTCTTCCATTAAGACAAATGATATTCAGGGTGTGCAGGGTGGTAGTAGAATTTCACAGTCAATGTTTCTTGGAGATATAAGTGAACATGAAATTCTAACTATAGTAAGGAAAAGCAAAACTAAGACATCTGTTGATAGTGATGAAATTGATATGATGATTATTTAAAAAACTATTGACTTTATTATTAAACCATTGACTTATATTTGTAATTTGTCAGTCCAGAGTGGCATATTTCCAGAAAAAATGAAATTAGCAAAAGTAATTCCAATATTTAAAAATGGTGATAGACATAGTTTGACAATTATAGACCGATCTCAGTGCTCCCCAGTTTTCTAAAGTTCTTGAAAAATGGTTTGTCCAGAAATTGGATGCTTATATTGAAAAGAATAACTTGAGTGAGTGTCAATATGGCTTTAGATCAAATAAATCAACATCCCTTGCATTATTAGAACTAAATGAAGAAATTACAGAAGCAATAGAAAGGAAGCATTATACAGTGGGGGTGTTTATTGATTTAAGAAAAGCCTTTGATACAATCGACCACACTTTATTGCTTTCCAAATTACAAGATTACGGGATAAGAGGGATAGTTCATAACTGGTTGAGTAGTTATTTGTCTAACCGAAAACAATTTGTACAGCTAGGAAATGAAAAATCAGATCTTCAAAATATAAAATGTGGAGTCCCCCAAGGTTCAGTGTTAGGACAAAAGCCTTTTCTTTTGTATATCAAAGACATTTGTGAAGTGTCTAAAAAGTTACAAATCATCCTGTTCGCAGATGATACAAATTAATTTTGTTCTGGGAATGACTTACAAAACATTATAGAATGTATGGCCAGTGAGATGTCTAAACTTAACGAGTGGTTTAAATACAACAAATTTTCAATAAACTGGAATAAAACAAAATTCATGATTTTTGGTAATAGAAAAATGGATGATTCTATTATAATGTCTATAGATGATAATCAAGTTGAACGAGTACATGAAGTTAAATTTTTAGGGGTTGTTTTAGATCATAAACTTAACTGGAAATCTCACAAAAAATATATAAAACTAAAACTATGCAAAAGTATTGGACGTCTAAATAAAGTAAAACATGTTTTAGAATTATCAACACTACAGACATTATATTATTCATTTGTTGTTCCATATCTGACTTATTGTATAGAGGTATGGGGCAACACATATAAAACCAACACTAAACCGTTGTCTGTCATACAAAAGAAAGTTATGAGAATTTTATATAAAGTGGACACTAGAGAACACACAAATAAATTGTTTATTCAGTCAAATATCTTGAAACTAAGGGATCTGGTTAATCTAAAAATGTTATTGGTTATGTTTAAAGACAGAAATATATTATTGCCATTTAATTTACAAAAGTTATTTTTCTTAAGTTCATGTGATAGAAATAACAGAAGGAAGTATGATTTCAAAAGTAAAACTGTGCGTACTACTTTAAAACTAATGTGCATTTCGGTACATGGAGTAAAATTATGGAACAGTTTGGATGAGGAGTTAAAAAAATGCTCTACAATAAACCAATTCAAAACACTTTATAAAAAAAAGAATAACTCATACATATCCTGATGCATGCTCAATAATCCAGGTAGAAAAATCCAAAAAAGTTCAATCTGGTCCTCTGGACATTCAAAAAAAAACAAAAGCAAACAAAGCAAAAAAAAAATCTAGAAACGTTTTGTCTCTCATCCAAGAGACCTCCCCAGTCCGAGGTGCCGCCCTCAGCTCAGTCTCCCAAATAGCACCCTCCCAGAGTGGATCAACCAGCTTGCTGCTGACAACCAAAACCAGCCGATCGCATGCTCAAGAAGGACCATCAGCCCAACAATGGATCACTAGCACACCGATGGCTGCCCACTACCCACAGAGGGCCGAGCGACACCAGCAACCACAGCACTGCAAGAGGGGGACAGCCGAACCCGGAGGCCTCCACCCCCGTCCAACGACTCTTATACACTTTTAAGTTGTTAATGAGAAGAGTGATATATTGTTATGCATGTTATTGTTGTTGTTATATTGTTTGCAACTTGTTTTGTTAATTTAATGTACACGGCCATGACATTTTGTATTTATTGAGAAAGGGGGCAGGTGTATACAAGATTTTCTTCTTCCTGCGCCCCCTTCACTCGTGTAAATAAGCGTTGTCAGAGAATGTGTTTGTAAACTGATGATAATTTTTTTTAATCGAGTGAATAAATTGATTGATTGATTGATTGATCATGGGAAACCGTCAAATTTCTATACAGGCTGCTGCAAATACAGTTTCATGGAGAAAACACCACCATCCCTGCCAAACAAACAGCCCCCTCCTCCTTTCTGACTGAGGTCTAAAGTTATTTGTCAAGTGTCAAAAAATCTACAGGAAGAAGAACAAAGACACAAAAGTTGAAGGAAGATCGGCGACGATAGAGACACAACGAGAGCAAGAGTGAGTTATGAGATTTGAGAGATCTGTGACATTAGCAGATTTGGATTTTATAGTGAGAGTGTAGTGTTTAGTGTTTAGTTTGATCACTTTTAGTGATTGAGTCAAAACAAGGAGGTGATTTTTGAACGTGACGCTGCAGTGTCTGTTTGAGGTGGAGGATGGACCCACACATCCAGAAGTGGCTGGAGCCGCAGAGTCAGAACCTCTCAGACAGAAGAGGCAGAGATGAAAAGGAAAAAGAGTCTTGAGACCGAGGGATTTGACGAGGAAATGGAAGATCCATTATTTGTTTTAGAAGAGAAAAGAGAGGAAGAGCACACTGAGTGTCACACTCCTGCCAGTGAATAGACACTCCTGCTTGTGAATAGACACTCCTGCTTGTGAATAGACACTCCTGCCTGTGAATACACA